CATCATGGCAAGTCTAAGTTATTCGTCATGTTTCATGCCAAAACATCGCAAACTTAGTTCAACTCTACCATCATGACAAGTCCAAATTATTCGTCATGTTTCATACCGAAACGTCGCAAACTTAGTTCAACTCTACCATCATGACAAGTCCAAATTATTCGTCATGTTTCATACCGAAACGTCGCAAACTTAGTTCAACTCTACCATCATGACAAGTCCAAATTATTCGTCATGTTTCATACCGAAACGTCGCAAACTTAGTTCAACTCTACCATCATGACAAGTCCAAATTATTCGTCATGTTTCATACCGAAACGTCGCAAACTTAGTTCAACTCTACCATCATGACAAGTCCAAATTATTCGTCATGTTTCATACCGAAACGTCGCAAACTTAGTTCAACTCTACCATCATGACAAGTCCAAATTATTCGTCATGTTTCATACCGAAACGTCGCAAACTTAGTTCAACTCTACCATCATGACAAGTCCAAATTATTCGTCATGTTTCATACCGAAACGTCGCAAACTTAGTTCAACTCTACCATCATGACAAGTCCAAATTATTCGTCATGTTTCATACCGAAACGTCGCAAACTTAGTTCAACTCTACCATCATGACAAGTCCAAATTATTCGTCATGTTTCATACCGAAACGTCGCAAACTTAGTTCAACTCTACCATCATGACAAGTCCAAATTATTCGTCATGTTTCATACCGAAACGTCGCAAACTTAGTTCAACTCTACCATCATGACAAGTCCAAATTATTCGTCATGTTTCATACCGAAACGTCGCAAACTTAGTTCAACTCTACCATCATGACAAGTCCAAATTATTCGTCATGTTTCATACCGAAACGTCGCAAACTTAGTTCAACTCTACCATCATGACAAGTCCAAATTATTCGTCATGTTTCATACCGAAACGTCGCAAACTTAGTTCAACTCTACCATCATGACAAGTCCAAATTATTCGTCATGTTTCATACCGAAACGTCGCAAACTTAGTTCAACTCTACCATCATGACAAGTCCAAATTATTCGTCATGTTTCATACCGAAACGTCGCAAACTTAGTTCAACTCTACCATCATGACAAGTCCAAATTATTCGTCATGTTTCATACCGAAACGTCGCAAACTTAGTTCAACTCTACCATCATGACAAGTCCAAATTATTCGTCATGTTTCATACCGAAACGTCGCAAACTTAGTTCAACTCTACCATCATGACAAGTCCAAATTATTCGTCATGTTTCATACCGAAACGTCGCAAACTTAGTTCAACTCTACCATCATGACAAGTCCAAATTATTCGTCATGTTTCATACCGAAACGTCGCAAACTTAGTTCAACTCTACCATCATGACAAGTCCAAATTATTCGTCATGTTTCATACCGAAACGTCGCAAACTTAGTTCAACTCTACCATCATGACAAGTCCAAATTATTCGTCATGTTTCATACCGAAACGTCGCAAACTTAGTTCAACTCTACCATCATGACAAGTCCAAATTATTCGTCATGTTTCATACCGAAACGTCGCAAACTTAGTTCAACTCTACCATCATGACAAGTCCAAATTATTCGTCATGTTTCATACCGAAACGTCGCAAACTTAGTTCAACTCTACCATCATGACAAGTCCAAATTATTCGTCATGTTTCATACCGAAACGTCGCAAACTTAGTTCAACTCTACCATCATGACAAGTCCAAATTATTCGTCATGTTTCATACCGAAACGTCGCAAACTTAGTTCAACTCTACCATCATGACAAGTCCAAATTATTCGTCATGTTTCATACCGAAACGTCGCAAACTTAGTTCAACTCTACCATCATGACAAGTCCAAATTATTCGTCATGTTTCATACCGAAACGTCGCAAACTTAGTTCAACTCTACCATCATGACAAGTCCAAATTATTCGTCATGTTTCATACCGAAACGTCGCAAACTTAGTTCAACTCTACCATCATGACAAGTCCAAATTATTCGTCATGTTTCATACCGAAACGTCGCAAACTTAGTTCAACTCTACCATCATGACAAGTCCAAATTATTCGTCATGTTTCATACCGAAACGTCGCAAACTTAGTTCAACTCTACCATCATGACAAGTCCAAATTATTCGTCATGTTTCATACCGAAACGTCGCAAACTTAGTTCAACTCTACCATCATGACAAGTCCAAATTATTCGTCATGTTTCATACCGAAACGTCGCAAACTTAGTTCAACTCTACCATCATGATCTCTTTTTCTTTTTCTTTTTCTTTTTCTTTTTTTTTTTTTTTTTTTTTTTTTTTGGGATCCTTGTATTATCAGTTTTGATAATTTGATTGCTTATATATAATGGAAAAAAGATAATCAAAGCTGAGTTCAGACATTTTGTTTTGTTTTGTTTTGTTTTGCTTTGCTTTGTATATTTGGTGCTCGTGTTCATGAATTGTTAGAATGTAGGGAGGACCATTTTCTCTGTTCCCGTATCCCCGTCTCACCCTGCATGGGTTTTTCTCTCCCTGATGAGGAAGTGGAGCGGGAGGGGTTTTGCTCCCGTCCCCTTCTTACTCATCCCCGCCCCATTTATATTTATTATATATATATATATAATTTAATTTTTATTTTTTATTTTTTATTATAAAATTAAAACTCATAATATTACAGTTAACATTCATTTTTACTCCTTGATATCTTATTTTACATCTTTTAATTTTCATTAATTATTATTCACTCTCTATAATATATTATATTATTTATAACTTTTATTAATATTTGTATTTTTTTAGTCATAAAATTAACCCGCTTTCTCCCGCTCATAACGCCAACCCAATTTATTCCACCCAATATCATACCCCACCCGATAAAATTAACCCGTTTTCTCCCACTCTTAACTCGAACTCAATTTATCTCACCCGATATGATACCTCACCCGATATAATACGAGGCGCACCATCCCTATTAAAATGTATATTTTTAACGACGTGCAAATGAAATAATTTATTGATGATTAAAGAAGATATAGCAGAGAATATTACCTTAAATATTTTAATTGGTTGTCACATCATTAAATTGAAAAGTTAATCTAATTTTTAGAGTTTAAATTTTTAAACTTGAATAACAATGCTCTAAACTATACTTGGCTCATTATTTTGTGGAGGTAAAATGTTGTCAAAAAATGAAGTGAAATGAGTAAAATTTATTTTTTTTCATTTTCTTTCCTTTTATCAATTTAAGATCCAATATATTAGACTTTAAATTCCCCGCATTCGGAACCGCTAACTAGTGAAATTTGTTACTTTCGACCACTGTCTCATTTGGTAATACTAGAACAATAGTGTTACATTTACTATTTTTTTATACCACCTCTAATGTATTACACATTATTGGTATAAAAAGTTTCACCACTCATATTTATCTCTAATAATATGCTAACACATAAGATGATATATTAAAAATAGTATAAAAAATAATAAATGTAATATTACCCATACTATAAGGTCCCGTTTGTTTGGAGTTATAGAGAAGGGATTGAGATTACCAATCCCTTAATATTACTAATGAGGATGTTTGTTTTGAGAAATAGGGAGGAGACTATTAGTCTCTTGATATTAGTAGTAGCCTTGGAAGGGGGATTAATCCCCTTACTATTAATCCCTTCACTATCAATCCCCTCCATTCTATCTTCCAAAACAAACAGAGCCTAAATGCATTTAAAACTAACATCACGACCCACATAAATGGATTGAGACCCAGAACAGTGAGCCAACTTGTGATGCTGGCCTAAAAAATCACTATAGATCATAACCCAAAGCCATCAAATTAACCCAAAGCCATCAAATGGAATCATCATTCCATTAAAATATTCAGCAATGATTGAGGGCCCGAATTTTCTAAGCTCGAATGCTCGAATTGACCAAAACGACGTCGTTTTGGTCAATTCGAGCCATTCGAGCCGTGAATATTAGGGCCACCAAATATTTTTCTAAAACATTCATCATCACCATGTTCAATAGACTCAAAAAATAATGAAAAACATATAAATAAAATCATCATTTATCATTGCAAATAAATGATCATTCATGAAAAACATATAAATAAAATCATCATTTATCATTGCAAATAAATGATCATTCTATAAGAGAACATAAAAAGTGTACATTCCTATTCATTCCAACGAACCAAATAGGGCATAAGGGTATAACCCTACCATAGAATTCTTCCTTGTATAACCCTACCATAGAATTCTTCTTTACATGTTATGCAAAATCTGTATGTGATGAGCAAGTGTAATAAATCGCGCATTAACCAAGTGGTTATATATATTTAACCTGGCTGTGCATATCACTGCCTCAAGCTGTATATAGCTTTAGCCTTGGAAATGCAATGGCCTTGACCACAAAACAATTTAAACCCAACCCAGGCTAAGTTCAGGCAATAATTTTTGTACAGCTTGCCTTGGCAATGCACAACGGCCACAAGCACAGCCCAAAAACCTACTACTAATGACAAACAATGTACACCCAGCAAGGCATATGCTAATCTCGGGCAACAAATCAGAAAATGCTACAATTGAGTGATCTCTAATCAAGGGAAACAATTGAAAGACCACACCAACAACGGAACAATTTTCCAGTAACCATTCAAGTGATCCCCTTGGAAGAAATTGGGTTTATGTGCTTTTTCACCGGTAGGGTCAAGCGAGTGTTTACACAACGGCAGACAAACTCAAATGTCGACTAAACATCCCTAAAAAATCTAAGGCCCAAAGAAAAAGCAATATGCATACAAAGACCAAATGCTTCCTCCCTACACCTCAACAAAAACTTGTCAAGTTGTCATCATTTGAAGAGTTTTCACCAACTGATCTATCAAAAGCAAATCAATTTCTAGCAAGTCAGAAATTTGCAAGATCACAATTCACACATTCTGGAGTCAGAGGGACCCAAGTAAAGAGGGTTATGAAACCTCATTCGAAAAGAACTCTCTGCAAGAGTGGAAGATTATAGAAAAGAAGACTTGATCAATTACTCTCTGTTTCACAAAATGTTAAACAAAAGCACAGCAAATCAAAACTAAATGCATGAATATTATCCCAGATCCCAAATGCAAAACTTCAGCTTAAAACATAATTCATCTATTCTAGAAAAGGGGGTAAAAATAACACTAAATCACAAATTCTGAAAACAATTCTCTGAAACGAGTTTCAATAAAAGAAGCCAAGTACTTTGCCACCAACATTCTTTCTCCTAGCTTCTTCATGGTCCATAATACCCGCAGATGTTGTCAGCACAATGTACCCAAACTGCAAGATCATTAAGCATCCATCATCATCACATAACCCAAAATGTAAATTATACAGTGAGATCACAAACGAAGCATAAGAAAACTATAGGCACGGTGTACATTGTGAAGGTTGCATATCACTCAAATTCAGAGGGTTCACAAAGGTATGAACAAAGTATAATTCTCCAATCAATTCCAAAAAATCCAGTAACTGTAGTCTCTAATTTTCATTTCAATAAGTAAGAACACCTCATTCATAGACTAAATAACAAATATTTTCCAAGGCTAACCTGTCTTGAGGGGAGCAATCTTGCCGTCCAAGGTTCAATCTCTTTGACCCCAACATCAAAACGAGGACTAATAACCCCACATTTGTTCAGCCTTCCATTCAATTCAACCACAATTTTTCCAGATCTGTGATCATCAACATACTCAAACTCTCCAATGTAACCTACAACACCAATTGAAAGTCAAATAAACATATCTTTACATATTTCAAACAAACTTGTTTCAACTTTCATGAGAAAGAAAACTAGAATTTTAAAATTGATAGAGATGAATTATGAAGAGGACAAACCATGCTTCTGCATGACAATAAGAAACTTGATTATCACTTTTGAGGATGGCCTGATCATGACCTGTCGTTTTCCTATCTTCTCTGCATTGTACATGCTCTTGAGAGCATCATTCAGGACACTAACTCTCACCATCCTCACAAATGAAAAGTGCTGAAAAAATACAGCACAAATTAATTTGCTAAAACAGCACAAGAGATTTAGAGAGTTATCAGTTAGGAATAACAACAAAGAAGATACACCAGCTCACACAGTGACACAAACAGAGCATACCACGGCTATATAAGATTGTATTAAATGGAGGACCAACATTTACTTCCCCCAAGGTTTTAAAAAGCGGCTGCAACCGTTGCGTAACGCCGTTACGTAACGGTTTTGGTGGTTACCGCCACCCGTTACGGCCGCTTTTGCAGTGTGATTGAGATTCACATATGTGTCGGCTGTAGCAGCTGTCTTAGCGGTCGTAACGGTGCCGTAACAGTCGTAACGGCCTGTTACGCACCGTTATGTAACAGTTCCGAATTGTTTCTTTCTAAAAAACACACAAAAAAAGTTGAAAATGGTGGAAGAGAGATAGAGAGAAGAGGGAAGATAAAGAGATAAGATGGAGGAGCAAGAGATAGAGAGAGAAGAGAGAAGATGATGAACATGTTATTGATTTGTTGAAACTGTAAGACCTATGCTATTCTATTCTATTCAGCTGCTATCACTCAACCATTTTGTTTGTGTGTGTCTATCTATATATTGTTTTCATAATAATATAATAATAATAAATAAATGTGGTCATTATCTATTTGGTTTGGTTAAAATATATATATATATATATTAGGTTCTTATTTATTCTCTTACTTTTGTCATTATTTATTTATATACAATAGTTACTGATGATTTTTTGTATAATATAAAGTCATTAATTATTAAAATAAAATGTAAAAAACTCAGTTTATAGTGATTTAAAAATATAAAATATATTGGATCATACTTAAAAATTTACAAAAATTGATCAATATTTATTTTAAACCCAATAAATATGATCATGGAAAAAACATATACGTATCGGTAAGTTTTTTTAAAATTGTGCTAAAAATAAAAAAATTCACGGTTCCAATTACCGCAACCATTACGCTACGGCCTTTACACCCCGCAACCACAACCACGCCACTGCCACCGTTACGGCGACCACAACCGCTTTTCAGAACCTTTCCCCCACTTCACATATAGATGGAACAAATTACTACTGAAAGATTTCTATACGGTACCCATGAAAATAATTGGAGATTGCTAATTTGTAACCATTATGGTTGTATACACGGCCTCATTTCTCAAAATGTGGGCACCACCAATGTGAGAGGGGTGGCTTGTTGATACTGCCAAAATGGCTGCAGATTTAACATTGCCCAATAATTTTTCGTCTTAAATGGGGATACGGATTCCACATGTCTTTCATAGGATAGAAATGGAACACTTCAGTAAATACTCGGTGCCATAAATTGAAAATAAAAACCTTAATTGCAATACCAAATTATACATATCTCAAGGCAAAGATTCAATTATTCAAACAACTCAAGACATGCCAACTCTGTTCAACACATGCAGTTAAAATAAGGTAACAATGTAAAGTAATGTTCTTCAAACGAAGCACCATAACCTTTAACATGGTTTATGCCATACATCATTCCACCCAGAAATGAAATTATAATCTTACTACAAAAAAGAAAGAAAGTGTAGTCCATGTATGATCTACATGTATCCAGGATTAGTAATGAATAAATATAATATTGTACTACTAAAAATAAAAATAAAAAGCAAAAAACACATACAAATCAAAATTTCCAAGTTGCAGCTGCTGAAATATGTCTAAAAAGGATGTCAACAATTTAAACATGAAGACAATATTTGACTTCATCTAGAACAGGACCGCAAATCCATCAAATTTCAGCATCCACACTAGTCCACCATTTGTATTCAATCATATAAGCCTACCTTCTAGTAGTGTTCTTTTTTTTTTTTTTTTTTGTAAAATGAATAATCAATCTACGTGAATGAAATCTTAAAAAATGGATAAAGAAGTCAAAATGAGCTTGAAGCAATGGCAAGTGGGAACAAACTTAAAATTTTAATAAGAAACCAAAAGCACTGCAAACTCAACTAGAACCAACTGATTTCTTCAAGCACTGTCACAAAGTCCCTGACCACATGCACATAACATACAAACAAAAGTTGTACCTAACAAACATCAAATCATTTTCCTTTCAATATTTGCCTATCACCTTCAGCCCAAAACAGCAACATGATAAGCACCAAGTGTCATACTACTCAAAGCTCTATGATTGGCAACCTAACAATTTATGAGGTGAATTGAAACTAATAAAGGACAAAAATCTAATAACCTAACCAAACATGCATATGACATCAAACCAGAATTGACACAGCAATTTGAGATTTGAAAGTGAATTAATGGACCCAACATCACAAACTAATAAATACACACATAAGACAATGCCGAATACGTGAAGACACTGACACTTCCAAACATGTACCATTACACTTTAGATGCTTAGTAGACATGTGCTTAGTGTTTAAACATGCATGAAATCAATTGCAAGTTTTGATGGAAATAACTTGGAACCAATGATTAAAATAAAAAAGTGCATTTATACCTATCAAAACGTCCACTTTAAGATTTTATATATATGAACCCTAAATTCTAAAACTTCTAATTTGTTTAGCAATGAAGTAATTAAAAATAGATATTCGGACTTTCCGTCAATAGTTATTTTCCAACATAATGTAGAAAATATTTTCTTATTATATTAAAATAATAATTATAAACATAATTTTGAGCAAAATACATTTTACCGCTTGTGTTATGCCCAGGAACACTTCACCTCCTCCTCGCGTTTAAAAATAGCCAAGACATCGCATATAAGTTAAGAGAATCTCCAATCCTTAACCTTTTCTTTCATCAAATTTAAGTGCTAAAACCATCTCCAATCCTTTCATCAAATGTTCATCAAATCAAGGGAGAGAGTCTTTTTTTTTTATCAAATCTTTCGTCAATTTTGAATTTGATGAAATTTGTTTTTTTATTGAAGATATTTCTCCCATCAAATTCGATGAAGATTTTTATGAAAGGAATAGAGTAGTTCATATCAAATCAAATTTTTTAATCAAATTTGGAATCAAATTAGAATTTTTTTTTTAATTGGTGAAGGGTTGGAGATGCTTTACCGTTAGCTACAAAAATGACAACATACCCTTCTTTCTTTTAAGATTTGAAGAACAATTTTTTTTTCTTTCTTTTTCAAGGGCATCACATAAACAACAAACAATTAGATCAGGCAAGATCATGACAACAGGGACCAAACCAACCTCCCCAAAAAGAAACACAACATATACAACAATTTCAAATGAAAATATATATATGTATTAAAAAATGATCCAAGCATACTTGTGTCAACATGAACAACCCCACAAAAACTCACAATCAATCTATCAGAAAAAAAAGCGACCGACTTTAACCAAGAAACACGAAACAGAAACTCTACACAAACAAATCAGAACAAATCGCTGTGATGCGTACAAAATGAGATACATACACACACATGTATGGAACGAATCGAGCTCGAGAAGAAGATCGAGATCAGATCGAGCTTCAGAAGTGTGAATTTACCTCAAGTAGAAGAAATGGAAGCACTAGGGTTTCGGCTAGGGCTGGTGAGACACAAAGAATAGACGATGAGAAAGTGCAAAGAACACACTAGGGTTTCGGCTTTTAGGGTTAGTAACAAAATGGGTCCTTTCCGGGTTCGACCCGGTTAAAATTTGGATTACGTAAATACCCTTCTGGGCCATTGTGAGTTTGGACTAGGCCCACAACTCAACTCAGGTAAGTTTTTAAAGCCACAGGTAGATTAGTCGGGCTTTGAAATTTTTTGTTTTAGAGAGTAATTCATACAATTATTTCAAATTTATTTTTTTGAATATCAATATATAATATATAGTAAATTGAAATTTATTAATTTTAATGTTTTAAAGAATGATTCATAATGTTTATATCATATTAATATTCTATTAATAATCAAAATAATATAAACTAATACTTAGGTGGTGTTTGGTTTTCATTTTTGGCTAAATAATCACAAAATGACAAAAAAAAAAGTCAAAAAATCACAAAAAATCAAAAATCACAAAAAGACAAAAAATAATCTACTATTCCAAAGTTAAAAAGCCAAAAAAATCAATCAAGAATACCAAACGAATAAAAAAGTCCTCGTTTGGGAGCAGACTAATTTAGTAACTTTTTGACTATTTGGTTAAAATATGAGCTAAAAAAAACTAGTATGTTTGGAATAACTTTTTGACTTTTTACGAAAAGATGTGCAAAAAGTAGAGAGAAAAGATAATCTTTGACTTTTTGGTATGGGTTGTTGGATTTTTTGCTAATTTAGTAACTTTTTGACTAAAAAAGATGGTTCACAAACGAGTCAAAAAAGTCAAAAAATCAACTAAAAAAGTCATTGTCAAACAAAGGCTTAAGTAATAGAAAGAGCCATAGATTACTAATTCATAAATTCCACGAAGTTATGATAACTTCAAAATTGGACACTTATAATAAAAATAAAATAAAAAATCAACTCTTAAGAGAAGCTATTTATAATTTTTTTTTCTTCTGCCACATGTGAAGAGAAATGGTGGAAGGAAAATAATATACATGATTGTCTACCTTAAAAGTAAATCAAAATTCATTCACAAATTTAGAGTGTACACATGGAGTGTGTGACACACCCTCGCATAAATGTTTACAATTTAAAAGTGTGTTGTTGTTTGTTGTAGGAGCTTGGAAGGTTGGGAGTTTGTGGAGTGGTGTAGGTATATGGTGGCTTGTCATCTTGATGGAGCTCTACTTGCTCAACTTTTTATTTCGGAGTTTTCATTCTTTCCGCTACAAATTGAGTTTTATGGCGATCTAATGGGTCATGTTGAATCACTTTAATATTGTTTTGTATAAATTATGATTGCCTCGATATCATTTTTTGCATGTTAGCAGTAAACAATAAAAAGTTATGTGGACAAATATTTTTATATATTGTGTATTCGAACAACTTTTGAATATTTAGTTTTTTGTTGACTATTGAGAGCTTCTAAGGTTGTTGTTCGACCATCCCATCTTCTAGTTCGTTGCACAGGGATGAAATTCGTGTGAAAATAAAACTTAGGCTCAAGCGTTGATCTGAAACAATTCAACAAATGAAAGCAACCTACAAGAAATAAATGGATGAAATTGATTAATAGGAATGATCGACAAGTTTTTCAGGTGCATGTAAAAAACACATAATGAATAGAGAAAAATAAGGGACTTAGGGATTTTTATGTATTTCCTTTCTTTTGCCTCCCTTTCAATATATAGGAGCTTTATATCTTTCTTCCCAATGCAGGGCTTCACTAGCGTAATATAACTACCTCGTGTCCATTTTTCATAATATGATGGTGTGAGAATTAAAATAATTTTAATTTAGAAAAAAAGAATACCTCCTGCCATGATGTTCAAGCCTTTGAATCTTTATCCTTGAATAATCAAATCTTGAACGTATAACAAAACCCACTCACTGAACACTTTTACAGAACCATATGGGAAAAGTAGAAGGAACAGAGTTTCAAGCCTATTTTATTCATAAAATAACGTCTGTGTTTGATTGCTATCACAGGCATATATATAGATAAGCTTGGACTCATATCCAAGTGTAACTCCTTATAACTTCCTATCATCAGGAAAGTTGTAAAGTCACATGAAACCACCATATGGAATAGTGAACAGACATTAGTTACCCATTAGTCATTAAACCAATTAATTAGTCATTAAACCAATTGAATATATATAATAAATATATATAATATAAATAAATAAATAAATAAAACAAACATGTGGCATATGGGCCACTTTATGGATATTCTTACATTCTCTCACTTGGCACATATAGCACACGTTATTGATTGTCAGGTAACTAACAAACTGATGATGGCCATTAAATAAAAAATCCCAAACCTTAGAGGTATAATACACGAATCATGGCGGTTATACTCTATCAATTAAGTATTTTCTTCCATGTAATACATTGTATTACGCTCTCAACTTTATGTGGTGTTATTCTTTATAAATAACTTCTAATAAGTTATTTTGGGTCCAATGATCCCTGTGGATCAATAGTCCCAATGGACTGCATAGCATCACAAATACTTTAGGTGCACAAAATGATGCTTTTCACTAATAATAATCAAAATGTCATGACAAAACAAAATAAAACAACAACTAGAAAAATTATTGAGCTAACCAATTAGTCGCATGCCCTCAACGTGTTTTGAAAACACCTTTACAGAAAGACCTTTGGTCATGGGATCTGCAATCATCATATCGGTACTAATATGCTCAATGCTGACTTCTTGCTTCTTAACACGGTCTCGAATAGCAAGATACTTTATGTCAATATGCTTGCTTCAGCTACCACTTTTTTTGTTGTTACAGAAGAAAACCGCAGCCGAATTATCACAGTAAACCTTTAATGGCCTAGAAATTGAATCCATAATTCGAAGCCCTGTGATAAAATTCCTTAACCAAATAGCCTGTGAGGTTGCTTCAAAGCAGGCTATAAACTCTGCTTCCATTGTTGACGATGCAATTATCGTCTCTTTGGCGCTCTTCCATGAAACAGCACCGCCTGCTAGCAGATAGACATATCCTAAAGAGGATTTTCTAGAATCTTGACAACCCGCAAAATCCGAGTCTGAATATCCAACCACCTCAAGACAGTCAATATGCTTGTAAGTAAGCATGCAGTCCTTGGTTCCCTTTAAGTACCTCATGATTTTCTTTGCAGCCTTCCAATGTTCTATTCCTGTATTACTTTGGTATCTTCCAAGCATCCCAACTGCAAATGCAATGTTAGGTCATGTACAAACCAAAGCATGCATTAAACTGCCTATGGCAGGTGCATAGGGAATGCTAACCATTTGTTCCTTTTCCAAATCATTCTTCGGACATTGACTTAAATTGAATTTGTCACCCTTTAAAAGGGGTGCTGCATTAGGAGTGCAATAACTCATCTTGAATTTCTCTAAAACTCTTTCAATGTAGGCTTTATGAGATAGTCCTAATGTCCTTTTGGACCTATCTCTGTGAATCTCTATGCCAATGACATAAGAAGTTTCACCCATATCCTTCATTTCAAAATTTTGGGAAAAAAATTGTTTAGTATCATGCAACAATCCCAAATCATTAGATACAAGTAAAATGTCATCCACATATAGAACTAGAAAATGTATTTGCTCCCACTAACCTTAAGGTATATACAGTTGTCTACAACATTCTCCGTAAAACCATATGAAGTAATAACATTATGGAACTTTAAACACCACTATCAGGAAGCTTGTTTCAGTCCATATATGGATTTCTTGGGCTTGTAAATTAAGTGACTATCTTTATCAGAACAAAAACCTTCAGGTTGGTACATGTATACTTCTTCCTCAAGATCCCTATTTAAAAATTCTGTTTTCACATCCATTTGATGTAGCTCTAAATCAAAATGAGCTACTAATGCTGTGATAATTCGAGTAAAACCCTTGGCCACAAGTCTGACCTTATATCGTTCGACACTACCATTTGAGTCTTTCTTGGTCTTATAGACCCATTTACAGCCAATAGCTTTAACTCCTTAAGGCAACTCGACAATTTCCTAAACTTGATTCTTAGCCATAGATTCCAACTCTGCCTTCATGGCGTCATACCATAATTTAGAATCATCCCTATTCATGGCGTTGGAAAATGAAATAGGATCATCTTTAGGTCCGATGTCAAAATCAAACTCCATTGAGTATACAAAATAATCACCAAAAATTGCTGACTTTCTTGCTCGTGAGGATCTTCTTAATTCTGTAGTCTCAATTAGGATTTGAGCTACAGGCTCTATGTTGACTTGGTCCTTTTGTGGTGGGAGTTCTTGAATTTGTTGATTTTCAAGGATATCAGGTTGATTATCTTGAAAGACAACCAATTCACCTATATTCACAGGTGTTGTATCTGGATCTCGTGATTCCTTTCACTCTATCTTTCGAGGGTAACTCCCACTAGGGTCAACTTCCTCAATAAACTTAACATTTCTGGCTTTAACAATTCTAAGTGAATTTGAAGGACAATAAAATCTGTAACCCTTGGAGTTTTCCGCATAGCCTATGAAAAAACCACTAACTGTTCTGGGGTCCAATTTCTTTAAATGTGGGTTATACACCCTCACTTCAACTGAACAACCCCAAACGTGTAAGTGTCTTAAACTTAGCTTCCATCCTTTCCATAACTCAAACGGTGTTTTGGGAACAACCTTGGATGGAACCCTATTTAAGATATACATGGCGATTTTCAAAGCTTCACTCCATAAATTTATAGACATATTAGAATAACGAAGCATGCTCCTTACCATGTCCATAAGTGTTCGGTTCCTTCTTTCAGTAACACCATTTTGTTGTGGTGTGCCAGACATTGAATATTGTGCAATAATGCCTTATTCCTTAAAGAACTTAGCAAATGGACCTGGTAATTGTCCCAATTCTGTGTACCTCCCATAATATTCTCCACCCCTGTCTGACCTCACAATTTTAATTTTCTTTTCTGTTTGTTTCTCTACCTCTGCTTTATAAACTTTAAAGGCATCAAGTGCCTCAGCCTTGTCAAACAAGAGATAGAGATACATGTATCGTGTGAAATCATCAATAAATGAGATAAAATATCTCTAATCATTCAGACAAGGT